CCATCAAACGGTTACCCGCAGGAAACTTGGCCACCTCAACCCTTCCTTCTTCATCCTGCTACTGACTGCCTTTATGATAAAATTGCTCCCCTGTCCTTCCCAGACCTGGGCACTTCTGACTACAACAACATTCTGTCATCCTTCCTGGACACCATGCTCCTCTCACTACACGCAGAACCAGGCCTCACCTGTCACAACCCTGGCAAACAGATGACACCAGAAGTCTCAAGAGATGCAGTCATGCTCTTGAGCAAGTATGGAGTAAAACTAAATCCCTGAAAGACTTCACCCTCTACAAATCCCTCCTTCTCAAATACAGCTCCTGCCTCCATACTGCTAAACAAACCTACTACACAAGTCTCATCAAAACCCTCTCATCCAAATCCTGTCAACTCTTTTCTACCTTTAATTCCTTACTTCACCCCACACTGCCTCCAGACACCAACTAGCTTACTGCCCAGGATATTGCCAATCATTTCAATAACAAAATCAACACAATTCGTCATGAGATAGCCAGCATCCAGCTTTCTCTCCCAACCAACTCACAAAGTCCAACACCACACTACTCCTTCAACCCTGTTACCACTGAGGAAGTTGCCAAACTCCTTTCCTCTGTCCACCTCACCACCTTTCCCCTGGACCTGTCCTCTCTCAATTACTATGACCACCTTCCTGCTCCATCCTAAACTCTCAAACCCACATCTTCAACCTTTCCCTCTCTTCAAGTACATTTCCCTTCACGCTCAAACATGTACTGACCACCCCCATACTTAAAAAATCCTCACTGGACCCCACCTGTTTGAATAACCTAAGACCCATCTCCCTGCTCCCATTTGCCTCCAAGCTTTTTGAATTCCTTATCCACAGTGGTATGAGTTGCTACCTCCTTCACAACAACCTTCTCAATCCCCTACAGTTCTGCTTCCTCCCGCAATGTTCCACTGAAAATGCTCTATTAAAACTCACCAATGACCTGCTAACTGCTAAAACCAACGGCCATTACTCCATACTCATACTCTTAGACCTTTCTGCTGCCTTTGACACAGTTGACCACCCACTCGTCCTCAACAAACTCCACTCAATTGGCCTCCATGACTCTGCTCTTTCCTGGTTATTCTGGTACCTATCTCAGTGCACTTTTAGTGTCACATACAATACCATCTACTCTGCTCCTCTTCCTCTTTTGTTGGGTCCCCCAAGGCTCCATCCTTGGGCTCCTCCTCTTCTCTCTCTATATCTTTTCCATAGGCAAGTTGATAACCTCCAGTGGCTTTCAATGCCACCTCTATGCTGATGACACCCAGATCTATCTCTCAACTTCTCAATTCACCCCCTCAATCCCCTTACAGATCACAAATTTACTAAGTGACATATCAGTATGGATGTCACACCACTACCTCAAACTCAGTCTTTCTAAAACTGAGCTTGTAATAGTTCCTCCTTCTGTATCCCCTCCCCATGACTTTACCATTGAGATCAACGGCACAACCAATGGTCCCTCCACACATGCCAGGTGTAATCTTAATGGTGCTAGGTGTAATCCTAGACTCTGACCTCTCCTTCATCCCCCACATCCATATCTGGCTAAATTTTTGCCCTCAAACACCGAAACATTTCTAGAATTCGCCCCTCCTGACTAAAGACACCACACAACAGCTTATTCACTCCTTGATTATTTACCAACTTGACTACAACTCCCTTCTCACTGGCCTACCCTTACACTGGCTATCCCCCCTTCAGTCTGCTATGAATGCTGCTGCCAGACTAATGCATCTTACTATCCAAACCATGACTACTGCCCCTCTGCCTATCTCTTCACTGGCTTCAACTAACCCAACATATACATTCAAAATACTAACCACAACATGCAAGGCCATCCACAACATTGCCCCCAGCTACATCACCAACCTCATCTGCAAATATTGTCCTCTCTCTCCCAAGACCTCCTGCTCTCCAGTTACCTCCTCCCACACTCACCTCCAGAACTTCTCTAGACCCTCTCCCATCCTCTGGAAAATGGCCACCTAAAAGCAAAGGATTTGAGTCTCTGTAGCATGACCTCCGACAGGTTCAAGCTGAGTGCCTCAGACTTCTGATAATTTATTTGAAAATTAGATAATTCACCATAACGTCTAAATTCAGCCATCAAGTTGGGAATGGTGACATCCAGTTAACTGCTAAAAAAGAGCAAATCATCTGCATAGGTAGAGACCTTATGGCATTTATGCCCAGTCAAGATATTATGAATGTTCTGCTTACTCCTAACATAGTGTAGAAATGGTTCACACATTAAAAGAAAATGAGGGGTGAAAAGGCACAACCGTGTCTTGTACCATTTGTAACAGGGAAAGGAGACAAGAGCAATCCATTAGCACCTGTGCTGTGACTCAGTCCACGTTCTCATAGTCGGACTAAGGCCTGTGTCTTCCAGTGTGACCCTGATGAAGGACAAATTCACCCTGTCAAAGGCCTTTTCACATCAGTAGAACGAAGGAGAGTTGGAGTAGTCCCTGGCAGGACAGAATGTATAACATTAAGTCTTCGGATCATACCATCACATGCTCTCTGTCTGGCATAAAGCCCACCCGGTCATAATGGATAATGTTATTAAGATAAGGAATCAGATGGGTAGCTAAGATTTTAGTGAATAGTTTCGGATCAAGCTTGAGCAGAGAAATAGGCCTTTAGTTGGCGCATCGAGTGGGATCTTTCCTTTCTTTGGTGATCACTGAGATATGGGCTGTTAATGTTTCTGGGTGTACAGTGTGTTCATGAGAACACAATGGACATTCACTCTGATGGTAATACGCTTGGCCTTGTATAACCCCATCTCTGCACTCCTGGCAACTTCACCAACACCCCCTGTCCTTTCTCTGATCACAACCTCATCAGTTTCACAGTATACTTGTTTTCAACCACCTATCCCCCCAAGCAGCAAATGATTACTTGTAGAAAACCTTCACCCTTCTCTTTTCTATTCTGCTACTGACCACCTCTATGACAAAATCTCTCCCATTTCCTGTCCTAACCTGGCCTCCTCTGTCTACAACAGTTCACTCTCATTCTTTCTCTGAAGATGTGCTTGGCACGTAACTAATAAGGAGGACCTAATGAAACCTTGACGTCACGCCGTCGGAGCATTGTGGAGCTCCCGGCCATACATCTGACAGGACGGTTAGTCCCCTTTGTTTTATCCGCTAGCTTTCATACTTTGCTAGCCGTGTGTTATTTCATCGTACTGCCTTTTATTGGATGCATCCTGTTTTATCATTAAACCAGTTTTTGCTGTACTTCACTATGGGCATTTTTTCTTGATCCCTTGTGGGGAGTATCTCCTCCTAGATGGGGGGGGGACCACTGTGTGACCCCTGAAATCCCTCAAAACTGTCTTCCCATGTGCAGTGGAGGAGTGGTGGCTTTCTCCGGTGGAGCTGTGATTTTCTTCCTTGCTGTTTAGTGGATCCTTTTGCTGCTTGTTTGAGGATCTTCACTTATCAAGGGATTACATCTATCTCTTTTCCCGTGATGACTACATCCTGAACTCCCATCTTTTGCCACATTACTTGACCTGCACCTCTGGTCAGTGTGCACTGCCCTCTGAAGTCACCCTGAAAACTGGGAACTTTCTTTATTGGGAGGCCATAAAATATATGAATATGAGTTACCAATCCTTTTTTATATATTCATATTGTTACTTTAGTATGTACATTTTATAACCTTTTAGAGCTGCACTTTTTATTGTATATTCATGTGAGGATTTTTTTTGGTTGTCCTATGTGTTTCAGCTGCTTGTCCACCTACAAAGCGCTCACTTTTTTGCTCTCTGTTTCTTACAACAACAGTTCACTCTCATCCTCAGTGGATGCACTTGATCCTCTAACTAATGAAATGACTAATGAAACCACCAAACTCCAGATCACATTGGCTCACAATTTAAATGATCCACTCATTCACTCCCTTATTATATCTTGCCTTGACTTTTGCAACTCCCTTCTCATATACCGATCTCTCCATAGGCTATTCCCTCTCCAGTCTATCATGAATGCTGCTGCCAGGATCAACTACCTTACCAACTGCTCACTGTTTGCCACCCCTCTCTGCCAATCCCTCCACTGTCTTCCAATTGCCCAATGAATGAAATTCAAAATGCTAACAACAACATACAAAGCTATTCACAACTCTACCCCCAGCTACATCACCAGTCTTGTATACAGATATCTCCCAAACCATCCTCTCCGCTCCTCTCATGATCTCCTGCTCTCAAGATCCCTTGCCTCCTCCTCTCCCCCATCCTCTAGAATTCTTGACCTCAATCTGTCTGGCTATCCCCTACTCTAGATGCCTTTAGGTGATCCCTGAAAACTCATCTGTTCAGGGAGGCAAAAAATTGCAGAACAAACCTCCAAAAAAATTTCAAATATATTAATAGAAAAAGGTCCGGTCCGAGCTGTGGATGTAGGCCCTTTACAGAATCATCTAGAGGGGGTGACTGGGGACAAAGAGAAGGCCAATGTATGAAATCCCTTCTTCAGCTCTGTGTATACAAAGGAACATGGGGGGGCTCCTGTTCATACAGGGGGGGTGGTACTGACACAGCTCCAGATGATTCACATTGGCTCACAATTTAAATGATCCAAAAATATTTAGACAGAATAAAGGTGAATAAAGCCCCTGGACCGGATGGCATACACCCACGGGGCCTTACAGAATTGATCTCTGTCATTTCACAGCCATGTTTCTCATTTTTAGAGGGTCTTTAATGACTGGCATAGTACCACTGGATTGGCGTAAGGCCAATGTGGAGCCAATATTTAAAAAGGGGTCAAAATCTTTCCCAAGTAATTATAGACCTGTTAGTGTAACTTCTATAGTTGGGAAGATACTGGAGAGTTTATAAAAGACACATAGAGGAGTGGCAAGGCTGGAAACAAATATTGTAAGCAACAGACAGGATGGATTCATGAAAGGCAGGTGTCAAACAAATCTGATTTCTTTTTATGAGGAGGTGTGGTATACTTGGACAGAGGGGTGAGAGGGTGGACAGAGGGGTGGCTGTGGACGTGGTATACTTGGACAGAGGGGTGGCGGTGGACGTGGTATACTTGGACAGAGGGGTGGCGGTGACGTGGTATACTTGGACAGAGGGGTGGCAGCAGGGACGTGGTATACTTGGACACAGTTCCCCAAAACCGGCTAATGTTGGACAGAGGGGGTGACGGAATGGACGTGGTATACTTGGACAGAGGGGTGGCGGTTGGGACAGAGGGGTGGCAGGGTGGATGATGGTATACTTGGACAGAGGGGTGGCAGGGGAAGTGGTATACTTGAACACAGTTCCCCACACACGGCTAATGTGTAAGGTAAAGTCTACGGGCTGGAAAAATCAGAATGTAAACGGATAGAAAACTGGTAAAAGATCGTATTCACAGAGTAGTGGTTAATGATTCATAATCTGAATGGTCTAGGGGTGTCAGTGGTGTACCCCAAGGTTCACTGTTATTAGTGGGGTACCCCGAGGTTCAGTGTTATTAGTGGGGTCCCCCAAGGTTCAGTGTTATTAGTGGGGTACCCCAAGGTTCAGTGTTATTAGTGGGGTACCCCAGGGGTTCAGTGTTGGGACCCTTACTTTTTAATATATATTTATAAACAATATAGGATTTGGGATTATAAATCCCATTTCAGTGTTTGCAGATGACACACCAAGCTGTGCCGGGAATAACGTCCTTACAGGATGTCTCCAACTTACAAGCCGACCTCAATGCTCTGTGTAATTGGGGGACTATGGGGCCAATGAGGTTTAATGTTTATAAATGTAAGGTTCTGCACTTGGGGGCTAAGAATATGCATGCATCATACATACTAGGGAGGTACAACTGGGGGGGGGGTCAATGGTGGAGAAGGATCTGGGGGGGTCAATGATGGAGAAAGATCTGGGGGGGTCAATGATGGAAAAGGATTTAGGGGTTCTGGTAGATCACAAGCTTAATAATGGCATGCAAGCTGCGAGTTCTAAAGCGAGCAAAATCCTCTCTTGTATTATTATCAATATTAACACCTCAACTAGAATATGCAGTTCATTTTTGGGCACCAATTCACAAAAAGAACATTGGGGAACTGGAGGAAAAAAAAAGCGAATGGAAACCAACTGATACGAGACATGGAGGAGCTCAGCTACGAGGAAAGATTAGACGAATTGAATGTATCCTCTACTTAAAAGAGGAGATTAAGGGGGGTATAATGGGGGGATATGATATGATCCATGTATAATACATAAGGGGGGATATGATCTCCATGTATAATACATAAGGGGGGATATGATCTCCATGTATAATACATAAGGGGGGGATATGATCTCCATGTATAATACATAAGGGGGATATGATCTCTCCATGTATAATACATAAGGGGGGATATGATCTCCATGTATAATACATAAGGGGGGATATGATCTCCATGTATAATACATAAGGGGGGATATGATCTCCATGTATAATACATAAGGGGGGATATGATCTCCATGTATAATACATAAGGGGGGGATATGATCACCATGTATAATACATAAGGGGGGATATGATCTCCATATATAATACATAAGGGGGGATATGATCTCCATGTATAATACATAAGGGGAGATATGATCTCCATCCATATATAATACATAAGGGGATATGATCTCCATGTATAATACATAAGGGGGGATATGATCTCCATGTATAATACATAAGGGGGATATGATCTCCATGTATAATACATAAGGGGGATATGATCTCCATGTATAATACATAAGGGGGATATGATCTCCATGTATAATACATAAGGGGGGATATGATCTCCATGTATAATACATAAGGGGGGATATGATCTCCATGTATAATACATAAGGGGGGATATGATCACCATGTATAATACATAAGGGGGGATATGATCTCCATGTATAATACATAAGGGGGGATATGATCTCCATGTATAATACATAAGGGGGGATATGATCTCCATGTATAATACATAAGGGGGATATGATCACCATGTATAATACATAAGGGGGGATATGATCTCCATGTATAATACATAAGGGGGGATATGATCTCCATGTATAATACATAAGGGGGGATATGATCTCCATATATAATACATAAGGGGGATATGATCTCCATGTATAATACATAAGGGGGGGATATGATCACCATGTATAATACATAAGGGGGGATATGATCTCCATGTATAATACATAAGGGGGGATATGATCTCCATGTATAATACATAAGGGGGGATATGATCTCCATGTATAATACATAAGGGGGGATATGATCTCCATGTATAAATACATCAGTGGTTCATATAGTGAACTCGGTGTAGTTATTCACCCTGAGGTCATCACAGAGGACAAGGGGGCGCTCTTTACATCTGGAGGAAAAGAAATGTCATCTCCAAACACGGAAAGGTTTCTTCACAGTGAGAGCTGTGAGAATGTGGAATAGACTCCTTCCATAGTTGGTTGTGGCTAGCTCAGTGGATTGCTGTAGGAAAGTCCTGGATCCTTTCTTGGATACACAAAATATAACTGGATAGAACATTTATAGGGAAAGTTGATCCAGGGAATATCCGATTGGCTCTTGGGGGGGTCAGGAAGGAATTTTTTCCCTGCAGGAGCAAATTGGATCGTGCTTTGCTGGATTTTTTTTTTTGTCTTCCTCTGGATCAACTGTAGGTGTAGGATTATAACTTTTTCTTTTTTTTTTTTTTCTATGGTTGAATTGGATGGACTTTTGTCTTTTTTCAGCCAGACTAATTATGTAACTATACGACTCCAATCACACATTTATCACTTCCATTAGCTCTACCCCCACAGTTATAACCCTTTGTACCACTTGCCCGACCCTATTAGATTGTGAGCTCTTATGTGCCGGGCCCTCTTAATACTCTAGTTTGTATTGCATTGTAACTGTATTGTCTCCCTTTATATTGTAAAGATCTGTGCAATCTGTTGGCTCTATATAAATCCTGTATAATAATAACAGGACAGCTCTGAATTTCTGACATAATCAACAGGTATTATTTTTTTATTTGCATTCATTATTAAAACAAAATGTTTACAATGGTATATTTAACAGGCCAAACGGTAGGAAAAAAGAGATGTTCATTTTCAGGGTTTTCAGACAATTAAATTGAAATTCCCCATTGTCACTTTTTGCCTATTTATTTTACATATCTTTTTTTTTTCTTTTTGTGTTTTTTTAAGCACATACTAATGTACATAATGTGCAGCCTCTACACATAGGAGTTCAACTGTGTGATATCTATCTATCTATCTATCTATCTATCTATCTATCTATCTATCTATCTATCTATCTATCTATCTATCTATCTATCTATCTATCTATCTATCTATCTCCCCTACAATTAAATTAACTGATGGAGATCCCATTGCTAGCTGGGAGACAACACAAGACAGTTCATTTCCTCAGAAGCTCTGACTCCGATGCTCATTGTGTTTGTATTGTTCTTCCTGCAGACAGTGAAAACTGCATGAAATGTCCTGATGATGAATGGCCAAATGAGAAGAAGGATCGGTGTGTTCCAAGAGTGGTGGAATTTCTCTCCTACACTGATGACACCATTGTTGCAGTATTTTCAGCTGTCTCCATCCTCTGTTGTCTTCTGACTGGTTTAATATTGGGGATATTTATACATTACCAGGACCCCCCCATTGTTAAAGCCAATAACCGGAACCTGAGCTATCTTCTCCTGGTCTCCATCATGCTGAGCTTCCTCTGTGTCTTCTTGTTCCTCGGCCATCCAGTAGATGTAACCTGCATGCTGCGTGTCACCTCTTTTGGTGTCATCTTCTCAGTTGCCGTCTCTTCTCTACTTGCCAAAAGTATCATGGTGTGTATTGCCTTTAAAGCCACCAAACCTGGGAGTCCCTGGAGGAAATGGATGGGAACCAAACTGCCCAATTGTATCATTTGTGTCTTCTCACTGGTCCAAGTCATAATCTGTGTCACTTGGTTGTCTATTTCTCCCCCCTTCCAGGATCAGGACACTCACTCTTATCAGGGGAAGATCATCATTCAGTGTAATGAGGGTTCAGTTATCGGCTTCTACTCAGTCCTGGGATATATGGGGCTTCTGGCAGCTGTGAGCTTCATTATAGCTTTTATAGGCAGGACATTACCGGACAGTTTTAATGAGGCCAAGTACATCACCTTCAGCATGCTGGTGTTCTGCAGTGTCTGGATTGCCATGATCCCGGCCTATCTGAGCACCAGAGGGAAATACATGGTGGCTGTGGAGGTTTTTGCTATAATGGCCTCAAGTTCTGGACTTCTTGGCTGTATATTCTTCCCAAAATGTTACATAATTCTGTTCAGACCTGACCTGAATACAAAGACAGTTATCCGCTAATATGTGAGGAGCAACACTGGGTTACCTGTAGTTATAGAATTATCTCTATTATTGTTCATTTTAGTATTTTCTAGTGTAATGAGAATGAACATTGTATAGAAAACATTTAATACTTACTGTACTGCTCTGGTGGATGGTCCATTTAATTTTTGCTCTGCACACCGTTGGTATCAGACACTTTGGATTTGTTGGAAACCATGTCCCCTGCTGGGTGTAGTGGTTCCTCCCACTGGACATTACATCACTACAGAACAACTAAGTCAATTCGTGAGGAGGAACCACAGTGAACAGAGGGGGGACAAAGTATCTAATACTTCGTAAAGTGTCAGATACCAGAGCCACCCATTACTCTTCAAGAGAGGGAAGATTTCACTCACCACCTTCCTGGAAGCTAAATATTATACATGTTCTTTTATAACCTGATTGTAATATGATATACATAGTGTCAGGGTCACTTTAATTATATTGTATATGAATGTATCCTGCTATATTAATAAATACAATTTGCTTTGGGCAATTTAAAATCATTTTTAATATTAGGTGAAGTTGATAGGAGCTCAGTAAGTTCACATTTTAGGCTGGCTGTATTTCCTAGCAGACAGTGCAACAGTAGAGCTTCTTTTGCCAAGCTTCAGCCTGTAGGTAGCCCCCCTCTGCTGGGGCCCCCTCCCAGGCTCCATACTCCAGAACCTTCCTTCACTCTGTCTTCCACCCGACTCCCCTGTTGTTCTGGCTCTTTCACATTTAAGGGCTGTCCTAATCACCAAGCCAGGTCTCCTGCCTTGGCATTTTCCAGATTCCCTCAAACATGCAATTCCAAGCCTCCTCCCCTTCTCCACCCCTCTTCTAGAAATTTCCATCATTTTCTAGAAGGGTAGGAGGGCTCCAGAAGCCCTGACCAGTAGAGCCTGCCAACCTGCCCT